TGGGATAAAGTTGACATTCCTAACACACACAACTTTCCATAACCTTGCCCCACCCTACCTTTCCTGCATCATCTCTAATTCCTAAATAAATTTTATGTTCCAGGCAAACTGCAGTATTCACAATCCCTTATGCTTTCTCTACTCTTCACTTTCGTTACTTTCCCTCCTACCCCCATCCCCTCTACAATGTCCTTCCATCCTCTCTCTACCTATCAAAATCCTGCTCAGTTCAAATGTCATCTTCTCAACAAAGCCTTCATGACCCCAACCACAAGAGATCCTCTGAATTTCTATAACACTTCATTTGAACCCATCTCATGGACTTTATCACATTATACCTTGTACTGTAGTGACCTGGATATATCCTAATTCCCTAATAGATTAAGTGCCATGAGGGCAGGGGTCATGTTGTTGTATACATCTTTGTAATTAACCCAAATCCTAGCATAGTGTCCTGCATATAGAGGACACCTAATCAATTTTTGATAGATAAATGAATAAATGAATGGATAGATGGAGTGACTAACTGTTAAATAAACAGGAGTGGCGATTTCCTTGTCTCTTTAAAAGAATGAACACCTTTATCAATGACTGTTAGAAAGAAGAAGGGAAAATGCAAACATGTCAGTTCTACTGTCTGTATAGTAGAGGGAAAAGAGAGCAGGTGGTTATCATTTTTGCCTCCAATTAAACTAAGGGATTTTCTGTGGCTTTCAACAGCCCAGGTTTCCCTTACCCTTACTGCCACATAGATTCTACAAGTTCTTCTTCACACCCCACCTCCTACTTGCCTGTTTTTAAGTGAATTTTATATTTCTACAGCTATCGAGACAGCTCTATTTTTAGAGGTAAGGCAGCACCCACATTGCACAGGGGGAAGACTCTTAATCTTTTGACTCTCCTAGGTTCTAGAGCTGGTTTCTAAACTTAATAGCTGTGTAACCCTGAACAAGTCACCTAACTTCTGATCCATGGGGATAATAGCTACCATTGTCCCGCTTTGCCTTATTCAGTTTTTGTGAAAGGCAGACTATAGGGCTTTGGACACATGTGAGGGATGATGATTATGGTGATATCATTAATCAGTCTGCTGCCTTAATCTTCTATGTAACCTCTATTTACTTTAGGTAGTCCTACACCTGGGCCATATCTAAGCCCAACTTACTAATTCTGGAAAGAATGGCTCTTACAATGTGGGAGGTGCTCAGGAGTGAGAATGAAAAGATGGAGATGACAGAAAACTAGATTTCAGATTCAGGAGGACTATCATATGATAAAGAATTAACCTGATTCTTATTAGCTCCACGGAGCAGAATCATGACTAATGATGGGAAGTTACAGGGAGGCAGATTTGGGCTCATCATAAGGAATAACTTCCTAATAATTAGACCTATCCAGAAATGGAATGGGTTGCCTCTCTAGAAAGTGAGTTCCCCATCACTGGAAGCATTCAGTGAAGGCAAGATAAATATTTGGGGATGTGACAGAGGGGATTCCTGATTCAGGTATGCACTGGACTTGATAACCTCTGAACTCTATTCCAATTCTGAGATTCTTTGATTCTGACTAAACAAAATGATAAATATTAAAAAAAAAATAAAAATCTGAGTGAAAAAAAATTTTAAATTAATATAAAAGCAAAATACATCAATAATTACTTTAAATTTTAAATTGCCATTTGACAATTACAGTACCCCTTCCCTGTAGGACCCAAACTTTCAAAGACATTCTCTTTCCTTCCTCACATTCACCTGAAAGCAAGTTCTTTTTTGTGTTTTTAACTTGAAAGTACCAGGAGGTGGAATGAAATGCCTTAAATATAATCTGACTGCCAACTTCCAAGCCCAGGACAGCATTACCTCATCTAGCCTGGCAAATGACTTACATTTCTAGAGCATTTCCAAGGTTTATTATACCCCATTTTACAGAAGAAGAAATGAAGGCTCAGAGACACTGATGTCCCCATGATCACATTATAACACACAAAATGATATACATATATGATTTCATTACATTCTCACAACAGCCGTGTGAATTAGACATTACAGGTATTATCCTCATTCCTCAGATGAGGAAACTGAGGCTGAGAGTTTATATGACATGGCCATGGTTACACCTCACATGGGCCAGAAGCAGGGGCTGGCTCCAGACCTCTACTGCCCTCAAGTCCAACACTCTTTCCACCATATCATGCCGCTTCAGAAACAAAATTCTCCCTCCTCCTACAATGCCATACCATCAGTTAGCTCCCTAAAACCAAACCACTCTCCATTTCCCCTCCAGGAAGTGGTTAAATACATAAAGTCACTTTTGCCAACATGTATGACATGAGCATGGTCAAACTGACCACTGGGAAGCACTGGGTTATTGCTAGCACAGGTGCTACTTCCTGCCTCAGGTGACCACACAGGAGGATATTGCCTTGACCCTTCTAGCCTTTCTTAGGGTCCTAATCAACAGTTATGAAAGGTCATAAAATTTCCTAAATGATCTGATGTTTCCAGAGCACCAAACATGTTACCCTACTTTTTAAAGGGCTAATAGAAAACATTAAAAAAAACCCAACAGGTTCTTTGGGAGTGCCTAGTGATATTACAAATAGAATCACTGCAGCAAGTCTTTAAACAGGAATTTCCTAGAATGCTTAAGTTCCGTTAGTGAGCGCTAACTGTTTGACCAAAAGGCTATCAAATACAGAAATGAAACTAAGTGTCAGGAGCCACAGCCACTAAAGACCAATCTGAAAAGGAAGATGAAACATCGTTAACATAAGTAGAAGAGAGGATTTTATTTATGTCAGGTTTGTCAAAAACACAACTGTTTACAATGTGGCCCCACCTACAGCAAATAAAAGATTCATTACAGAAGAGTAGAACTGTTAACTCTACAAGTTTGATAGATACCAGCAAGGTAGTTGTCATTAGCATCAAGGGCCAAAGATAGTAACAGATTAGGATGAAAGGCTCACTGATAAGATAAGATCAGAAGAATGCAGTAAAATAATAGCTAGCATTTATATAGTGCTTTAAAGTTTGTAAAGCCTTACAAATATTTAATCCTTATAATAATCCTGGGAGGTCGATATGATTATTATTCCCATTTTTCAGATGAGGAAACTGAGGAAATAGGCATTTATATAGCACCTATTATGTGCCAGGCACTGTTCTAGGCATTTTATAAATGTTATTTGATTCTCACAACCCTGAAAGGTAGGTGCTGTTATCCTCATTTTATAGTTGAGGAAACTGAGGCAAAATGAGGTTAAATGAGTTGCTCAGGGTTACACAGCTATTAAGTATCTGAAGTGGGATAGGTCTTCCTGACTCCAAGTCCAAACACTGCGACCATCTAGCTGCCTGGGAGATGGAAGGCAGTGTGTTAATACTGTAAACAACATGAAACTCAAAAGTGTGGAAACTTATGATGTTGTCCCAGCTCTACTACTAACTAGCTGCATGATGTTGGGCAATTCATTTCCCCTCTCTGGGCTTTGCTTTCTTTAATGATAAAAAGGAGTTGGACTAGTGATCTCAAAGATCCCTTCCAGCCTTGACATGCAAGGATAGTATGAGAACCATCCAGGAAAAAAAAAAAAAAAAAGAAGAAGTGCATCTGTCTCATATATGTAAAAGCCCAGCTGGGAAAAAGATTGCTCAGGGTGGTCCAACAGCATCTGACTAATGCAAGCAGAAGCAGGAGACAGCAGCCAAAGAAAACTTTGGAAAAATCTGCTAACAGAACTTTTCAGAGGAGTCATCTCAAAGGCAAATGGTAGAAGCATCTTTAACTTTAAAAATTGGTCAAAAGGACTGTAATAAAATGTTCCTAGGAGAAGAGTCCAGCATTTCTCATCTCCCAGTTGCCATGAGACACTGTGAAGTTTTAAAAGTAACTAATGGCACCTTTTCAGTGAATACTGCCTCTCTCATACAGACCTTCAGTAATTCCGAGTGAGCAGCTACAGATTCTTCACAACAAAGGTGGTCTTAATCACTCTCACAAAGGCAGGGGAACAATTCAGCAGGGTTTCCTAGTCTACAAATCTCTTTCCTAATCTACTACCAAATAATTTTATTCTAATCTTCACCTTTTACATTCTCCCAGAAAAAAATGATAAGTAGTTTCCAAGGGACAATGAACATGCAAGAAAAAACATCTAATTCAGGTGCCATCTGAATGGTCCAATGCTTAGCTTTCAGTGTTCTATCTTATTTTACTAAATCTATGAACATATATATTGTTGTTCAGTTCTTTTTCAGTCATGTCTGACTCTTTGTGACCCCATTTGGAGTTTTCTTGGTAAAGATACTGAAGTGGTTTGCTATTTCCTTCTCCAGCTCATTTTACAGATTAAGAAACTGAGGCAAAAGGGATTAAGTGACTTACCCAGGGTCACGTGGTAAATGTGTAAGGCTGAATTTGAACTCAGGAAAATGAGTCTTTCTGACTCCAGGCCTGGCACTATATCCATTGAGCCATCTAGCTACCCCATGAATATATATACATGCCAAGAAGGTAAGTATAGCTATTACAGAGAACATCTAAGAAACTGGTAACTAGTTGCCAAACTATACCAATTGCTTAAGTGTTAGGTATCTCTGGCTGAGCTGGAATTCTGTTCCAAATCATTTGATACCAATGTGAAGGTTATGAAGTATTTTTTAGATTTCATATTAAGTCCCAGAATAGAGAAGATCTTGCTAAAAGGTACAGGAAAAGTTAAGGGGTCACCCTGGAAGAAACATCCATTTCCCAATTCCCATCCATCCTAATGCTTTTGACTTTTGACTTTCACTATGAACAGCTGTTCCCATTTCTCCACAGGTGGGCTATACAGTAATTATCTTTGTGGTATGAGATATGGTCCTCCTTCCCCCTGATCCCTACTGTATTTTAAATCCCTTTCCCTTCTTCCTTGCCATCTTCCTACTCCCACCCATCATGATCTAGTAGTTTCCACCAATCTCGGTCATTCAATGAATATAATCTCTCACACATACCTGTAGCAGTGCCAGATCGGCATCCTGAGCGAGCTGCTGCAGATTCTTTACAGCAGAGGTAGTCTTAATCACTCTCACAAGGGCAGGGGAACAGTCTAAGGGGAGTTCATTCAGTAGAGACTTCTCATCATTGAGTAGCAGTAAGGCATGGTAAGGCCTGCCACAGGAGAAACCCACATGGTAACTGAAATCATTCCAAGAACACTCAAAGCAATGAGGAGCCATGGGCCAGGGTCTGCTTCAGCACACAGCCTGCACAGACTATACAGGGGACTGCAAGAGGACTCAAGGGGGCCTTGGGAAGCAAATCTGGACTTGGCAGCTTCACTGCCTGTGGCCTAGTGTGTCAAACTCAAATAGAAACAGAGCCAATAATCTGTACATAAGGATTCCTGTGGGCTGCATAGTGACTTAGTTTTAAAATGTCACATTATCTATGTTTTACTGTATTTTTACTTATTTTATTAAAGATTTCCCAATTATATTTTAATGTGGTTTGGGCTGTCCTTGGGAGTACTGTGGGCTGCATCAGCTCACAGGTCTGTGTTTGACACCTGTGCCCTAGTGTACAATGCTAGGTCCAAACTGCAAATGCCAAGAGGTATTAAATAACTTAAGGGAACAAGCAGGGGAAATTAAATCAGATCCTGTGTCAGGAAAAATAGCAAAGAGGAGATAAGAAATGTGATGGGTGCTTCTTAAATCAGTTAGAAATATTACTGGGGAATACAGTTCTTCCCATACAGTTTGGGGAGAGGTACTAGACTTAAAATCTAAAGGCCTGGGCTTGCATTCTGTAAAATGGAGATAATAACTGTATGTTATGAGGACAGTGCTTTGAAAACTTTTGAAATGCAAGCTCTCCAAAAGGAAAGCTTTGTGTGTGAGAAAAACAAAAACAAAACAAAACTAAAACCTAGATTGAAGAAGTTTTTAGGAGTAAGGAAACTTTTTAAAGGAAAGAGAGAGATAATGCACATTCCCATACTTCACTGTTGACAAAGAACTTTTCTCACAAGAATTATTACATCCATTTTATAGGTGAAGTGGCCTAGAGGGTTGGTGACTTGCCCGTGGCCATCCAAATGGGAAGAATGAGGAGCAGAACTCTTGACAACAGGGCACGCACCCTTTTCAAGGTACCACACTGATTAAGCTTTTATCACCTATTTCTTTGATGGAAATTTGTAAATTTGGTGAAGAAGTCAATCAGAAACAAGAAAGGCCTTGAGAAGGCAGCCCCATGATAACTAAGTCAGACTTGCAAAGAGTTAAAAATGAACTACTCAGCTTAGCCCTGGGCTGCAGCTCACTCCCCTGAAATCTGGCATTCATGAGGTAAAACAAATGGTCACTAGGCCTAGGGCTGAGATCACAGAAAAAGATCTAAACCCACCCTGGGTGCAGCAGGGATGGAGCAAAGGGATGGGCATTTCAGCCATTCCTGGGCACTGCCTCTTCTAAAATAAAAGCCTGTCATATTTTGACTATGACAAATGGCAGAACCCCACTGCCGATTTCGGTAGGAAGCAGGGGAGTAAAAGCACCTGGCCTATGGGTCCAACCGCTTTCAGAAGTAATGTAATCTGCAAAACATTTGGAGTAGAGAGCACAGAGCAATCCAGAAAGGACAACAATGATCTAGGAATTACTGGAGAGAAGTGGGAGCACAAGCCCCTTGGAGAACAAGATGTAGTTACCGGATAGCTTTCAGACTTCTTTCGATGGCTTCCGGAGGTATAAAATTTGTTGCGACATAATGGATTTTATGAGGCAGGCAGAAGCTCACTTCCAGCCAATTGTTGATGTGTAACCGTACCACACCAGTGGTACACAGGCTGCAGAAGACCAAACATAACAATGTTATTTGTGGAGCCTGCATCCTGCTGCATCAAACTGCACATAGGCTGTCTCGTTCTTGTATTTATTTATTTATTTTTGTCTCGCTCTTTTAGTAAGACTTTCTTAAATGGCTTTTGATAAGAGATTTCCTTTTACATGTTCAACACATTACAAAGACCCACTTACTGAAATTTCACAAATTAAATCCCAACCTGGGTATTCTGTTTCTCATTCAACCTGCTCCTGCTTGTCAGAAGAAACATGAAAGTGGATATTAAACTGTTCCCTTACCATAGGAAAACCACAGGAGGAAGGTTGTTATTGCTTGGAAAATAAAGAAAATGCATGATAGGCATCACTCACATTCTTTATTTCTAGCCTTGGGATCTACGGTTCAGTAACAATGCTGAAAAAATCAACTGTAAGAATCTTTGATCATTCCTATCCCTGAAGACCAATGAGAAGAATGAGCACGTTTGGCACAAAAGAATAAATTCAGTTATAGGGCTTCCTTTCAACAGCTCATCAGAGCCTGGTTTTTGCCTCACTAACCATGACTTCAGCATCTGTTCTGCACAGAATCTTCATAGAATTTCAGAGTCAGAGGAACCCCAATGGTCATCATATGGAACCCATACAAAGAATTCCCTCTATAACAAATCTGATGAGAAACCACCCAACCTTTGTCTAAAGACCTTCAATGAAGGAAAGCCCCCTACCTCCAATGACAATCTATGCCACTTTCAGGTAGCTTTAATTGTTAGGAAGTGTGTCCTTATATAAACCTAACTTTAAATTTAAACTTTGAGCTAATGCTCCTAGTTCTACCCACTGTGACCACATAGAATAATCCCTCTTCCAATTCCTCCTTCACATAGCAGCCCTTCAAATATTTGAAGGTGAATGAATAGTCAACACCTACTACAGTAAGGAAAAGGATGTGTCATGCCTGTTATAATGGATAAGGCTCAAAAACTGGCCAAAAGCTGAAATTAGAAAAGACCTGAACAAAAAATTAGTCTAGGCTCTGGGTTGTAGAAAGGGGGCCCCTCAAGGGAACGTATACTTTACCTGGCAAGTTTCATATTCAGAGTGTATTATTTTAATATCTGTTATTTTTAAGACATGTGGAGAGATGGGACAAGGAAGAGAATTATGGTCCTTTGTCTTAGAAATTTAACACATGAGTTATACTAACTGCCTCCAAGGAGCATGTTAATGGAGATAGCCATAAGAAGGATCACAAGAATGCAGCATGAGTGGAACCTAAAATAAGATAGTCAGAAAATGAACCCCAAGATGAACCACGAATGAACTATACAGAGCAGTAAAATGGTTACCAAGACAGTGGAGCTTGGACTCAGACTAGGAATATATAGAGCTATATAAATTACAACAAACAACAACTGAGGCAGGATGTTGGAGCGGCATCTGAGACTGAAGGAGAATGGGATGTGGCTTATTGCATAAAACAGCATGTATCCAGGGAAGGAGATTTTGTCAATGCATTCAGGATAGGCCCATTTCCCAAACCTTTTAACTGTACTTATATAGAACCAATAAAATACTTAGATAAATCCAGGTTTCTTCCAAATGACACCATGACCCAGGGAAAGCCACTGTATGGTGGGGGAAGAAGAAGGAAGGGGGAGAAATTGAGGTAAGAAGGACAAGAAAGAATCTTAGAGTTGGATGGGATCTAAAAGGTCATCTAGTCCCATTCTTAATCTAAAAAGAATCCCAAAATGTGGTCCTCCATCTTTGCCTGAAACATATGTAATAAGAAGGAACCCATTACTTTGTATAGGCAGTTCTACTTTTGCATAGTTCTAACTTTTGCACAGTTAGAAATTAAATTAGAAAAAATGAAAGGTCCCTTGTAGCTTGGACTCTGCGTCCACCTTATAAGTGAGCCATTGGGAAGTGAGACATCTCTAATTCCACAGGTTGATGTTGGAGGATTGCCAGTCCCTAGTTGTCTTTTTAGCTTCACACAAAGGAGAATGCTGGTAGTAGGACCCACACAAAGATGCTTTTATATGTATAATAGAGATGTTGGAACTGCAGGAGACCTTAGAAATCATCTCATCCACTTTGGTGGACTAACTAGCAGAAGAGGTGAAATAGGAATCTAGGTCTCCAAATTCTTCTTTCTTTTTGTTGTTCAGTCATGTCTGACTCTTTGTGACTCCATTTGGTGTTTCTTGGCAGAGATACTGGAGTGGTTTGCCATTTCCTTCTCCAGCTCATTTTACAGATAAGGAAACTGAGGCAAACAGGGTTCAGTGACATGCCTAGGGTCACACAGCTAGTAAATGTCTGAGGCTGGATTTGAACTCAGGTACACTCCAGGCCTGGCACCCAATCCACTGCAGCACTTAGCTTCCCTAGTACTCTCTACTACACCTCAACTCTGCAGAAGAGTAGAAAAAAAAGAGAGAACGAGAGAATAAAGGCAGTCAGCATCATTACTAAGATGAACCTACCTCATGCGGCCTTTGACGCTGCTGATATCATGTAATTTTCCTTCTACTATGCTCTTAATCATGTTGACTTTTCTGACACCAGTTTGGGTTTGGATATTTGTTATAATTGATTGACAACCACTCCCTACATTGAGCTCTGTTCCTTGCACTAACTGTTGCAAGATGGCTTATTTGTTTTCCAAATAAGTCTCCTGCATATTTCTAGGTTGGGAGACTTCAGAACTTAAAAAAAAAAAAGTGAACAGTGCTCTTTTAAGAATATTGCTAATGAAGCACTGACGATGAATATAGGATCCATCTCCTGAATGACTGCTGATGGATTCAAAATACAGAATCAGACATTAGGCTACAATGTGGGAATTTATTTTGCTTGACTACACATATTTATTTTTCTTTTGGGCTTTGTTTTTTTTTTTTTCTTTTAAATCAAGGTTGTGTGGAAGGGAGATAAATGCTTGTTAACTGAAAAATGGGATAAAATGAAAAAAACTCTTAAAGGATATTCTTAATGCCTCTGCCATAGAATAATCAGTAAAGATAATTTGTTTGTAGAATATATTTAAAGGAAGGTCTTGGGAAAAAACTTTAACTATAAGTTTTATATGGACAATTTCAGAGGAAACTGAGAAGACCTTTGTGAACTGATGTAGAGTGAAATAAGTTAGAGAACAATTTGTACAATGATAACACTATAGAGAAAAACAACTTTAGAACTCTGACCAAAGTAACAATAAACTATGAGTCGAAAAGAAAGATGAAACATGTCATTCACTTCCTGACAGAGAAGGGATGAACTTAAAATCCAGAAAGAGAAATACAATTTAAAGATATGGTTAATGTAAGAATTTGTTTTGCTGTATTGCTGTATTGAAGGGTGTGGTTTTGGGGTTTGCATGTTTTGTTTTTTTTAATTTGCCCAGTGGGTGGGAAGAGTAATACCAACAGTAATTAAAAAAAAATACTTGTACTTGAAAAATTAAGAAAAAGCAATAAAACCCAGTAAGTTTTATGCTTTGTACATAATCATTAAATTAAGCAACAATAATTATACCTGTGTCTGTATTTATAGTTCCTCTCTATCTAAATCCCTTGGAGAAATGGAAAAGTCAGGGGCAGCTAGGTGGCTCAGTGGATAGAGCACCGGCCCTGGATTCAGGAGGAAAAGTTCAAATCTGGCCTCAGACACAAGATACTCACTAGCTATGTGACCCTGGGCAAGTCATTTAACACCACTGCCAAGCCAAAAAAGCAAAAAAATAAAAAATAAAAAAAATGTTACATTCTCTGCAATATCAACATCTCTAAAATATATTACTAGACTTATGACTAAATTATGTGAGTCCTGCTGGTGGGTATATTAAGTAGTTATATTAAGTTATATTAAGAAACATTTCCAGTTCTGCTCAGGTATTCAGGCCCAAATCTGGGAAAACAAAGACTGAGTGTCCTTTAGATCCTATTTCATTTCACTTGGAGATCAAGCACAATCACTGCCTTGTCTATTCCCAAAGCCAGAGATCTGAAGAAATGCAGTGCCAATGAATGTGAAATGGGTCCCTTGAATGTCAGCAGAGAACAAGAAAGGTATGATATGGAAGTAACACAATCTACCTTTTTGCATCATGCCTGTGAAGAACTGAGAGTCATCGAAGAAAGGCTACTTAGGGTTCTAGTGCTGCACAAAGACACTGACCTTCCAGTCAGGGGCACACTGTCGGACCACTTAATTATGGATAGGAAAAGCCAGCATATCAAAAATGAGCTATGCTATGGAAAAGCGGCATGCTGTAGTTGAAAGAACACCTGTTCGGAAGTTGGAAACCCTATTAAAACTTAAAACTGCTCTATGACTTTTGGAACACCCTGTTTATTTAAGTCCCAATACCGCCATTTATTGGCTTGTGTGACTTTGTCCACTCACTCAACTTCCTGTAGCCCCAGTTGCCTCATCTATTAAAAAATAATAATTCATATGACTTTAGTTATAGAAATAGTATGAAGATCAAATGAGATAACATATGCAGTATCCTTTTTTTATTTTGTTTTTTTTGGCTAAGCCATTGGGGTTAAGTGACTTGCCTACAGTCACACAGCTAGTGAGCATCATGTGTCTGAAGCTGGATTTGAACTCAGGTCCTCCTGATTCCAGGGCCAGTGCTCTATCCACTGCACCACCTGGCTGCCCCTGCAGTATCCTTTTTAAACCAAAAGGGCTACATAAAGGTCAGCTGTTGTATTATCTTTTATCCCAAACCCATGTTTTCTGCCTTCAATGCCAGCGGTCCCCCGAGCTTCTTCTAACCAACTCACATCAACAAAGTTGGTAAAGACCTTTCGGTTAGCTAAAGTACAGGTAAAAATAAACCAACCTCTTTCCTCTCAGAAAGGGGCTGCATAATTAGGAGGGGATACTAGATAATAGCTAGAAGAAACCTCATCTAGGTTAGTTCCACATTCTACAGATGGAGAACCTGAGGCCCAACTCCAACCCAGGTCCTATAAATTCAAAT